ATACCGACACAACCTGAAACAATCCGACTTAAAATGACCCGACCTGACCGGACCTAATGCAGCACTAATTAACCCGACCTGACCCGTTCCAATGTGACATGATCATACCTGACTCGACCCAGCCTAACCCGACGTAACCTAAACTGCAGACCTGACCTGATTTGAACTGAAATGATGCGACTTCACATGACCTCATCTAACCGAGCCCAACCTTACCGGACTTGACCTAACCCGACCCGTCCTGACCTGACCAGACCGTACTTCGCCTGACCGGACCCGACATCACCTGAACCGACCTGAGCTGATGACGCAAACCGACTTTGCCTGACCCGTCCCTGATCTGATCTGACCTGACCCGACGTGACCTCACCTGACCGGACTTGACCTAACATGACCGAAAATGACACAATTTGACCTAACCGATTAGACCGGACCCGACCTAATCTGAGCTGACCTGACCTGATTCAAAAGGGACATGACCCGACCCGCCACATGACGACCTAGCCTGACCTAACCCGTCGCAATGCAACCTGACCCGATCCGTCCCGACCTGATCTGAACTGACCCCACATGACTTCACCCGACCTAACAGTACCCTATTCGACCGGACCTGACCTAATAGACCTGAGGCGACCTGACCTGAACCGACCCGACTTGACCTGACCCGACCCAACGCGGCCTTACCGGACCTGACCTGACTTGACATAACATGATCTGACCGGACCTGAAATGGTACGACCTAGTGACCCTACTTGATATGACACGACCTGACCGAACTCTAAAACTAGAACATCCCACATCCATAACTATTTACGATCAGTAATCTAATCTAGGTCTACATCTACTCCTCTTAATTTCTGTTTCTGCCTCTGATATATCTTTGACTAGATCTTCACGCCTGAGAAGGTGTCCTACAAACCTATTGCGCCTATTTCTTATAAACTGTCATAGAGTCCTCTGTTCTCCTGTTCTTTCTGATACCTCGTGATTTCTAAATTTCGAACGCTTCTAACCTTTTCATTTCCGCCACGTCCACCGTCCATATTTCGCACCCGTGCAGCGCCGCGCTCCCAACATACACCTTTAACAATGTTTTTCGAATGTCTAAATTAACCGTTAATTAATTAAAAGGAATATATTTTAAAAAAAAACTGAAGGATTCGTGATAGGCATTTAGAAATCTGAACATATAATCAATAACAAATAAAATACGACTACCTCCAAGGGTACACGGAATATATGACCAAACGATTCGACAACAATGCATACCC